ACTGAATCTGAAATAAAAACTAAGTTAAAAAAAAAAAAACACCAAATTAAATAGAGAAGTAGACTAAACAGAAAAGGCACAATATAATAAGATTCTTTACAGCATGAACACACACACATTTTAAAATCACATCAGAATACTAAAAGTTACATCATTTTCAAAATTCACATCCTGTAACAGTTCTTAGGATTTAGCAGCCATGTATATAGTTTTAACGGCATATATATATATATATTGCACGTTGTCAAGATCTGTCTTTATTGTATTTTGTCTTGTCTTTTTCTGTCTTTTGTTTCATGTTTTATTTTGAAAGGTCTTCACCTCCTGTCTTGCCTGTTTCTGTCTGTGTTGTGTTTTGTCTTGTCTAGATCTGTCTTTGGTTTTCTGTGTGCGTTGTGTCTTGTCTAGATCTGTCTTTGGTTTTCTGTCTGCGTTGTGTTTTGTCTTTAGATCTGTCTGTGGTTCCCTGTCGTTAGTTTCCCTGGTGTGTCTTATTACCCGATTGTGTGCACCTGGTGTCCCTGTGTATTCTCCTCCCTCCTCACCTGTGTCTTGTTTGTATAATTAGTCTTGTGTGTATTTAAGTTCTGGTTTTTCTGTCTGTCTTTGTCGGTTCGTCTTGTGTTTTGACTTGGTCTTCGGTGAGTGTTCTGTTCTGTCTTTGTTTCTAGTATAGCCTTGAAATAAAGGAGATATTTTTGACACTTTAATCTGCATTTGGGTCCTGCTTCCTGCACACACCGTAACATTACGAACCGACCTGAAATATGGGCCCAGCAGATCCTTTTGAGCAGGAATTGTTGGATTTTGCTTTTTCTTTGGCTACCTGCTCTGATCGATGGATGGGAGCGTCCGGGGTTCAGCAGCGAGAGGCTGCTCTGGCAGAGGCGCGCCAGATAACTATGGAGAAACCAGGCTTGGTGAGATTCTTACCGGGCGGGATTTTGGATTTCCTCATGGTGTGTTATCCCCTGCCTGACAGCCCCAGGCCTCCCAACTCCCGTTATGACACCACACGCATCGGTGTGGTCCGTTTGGAGTCAACCCTGGCTTCTGCCCCCTTGCCTGCTCCTGTCCAGGAGCCGTTCTCTGGAACTCGTCTGGCCTTCGGAGGTCCACGGAGCCTCCAAACGGCTCTTAAAGGAAGGAGTCGCAAGGCCAGGTTAGCAGCCCGAGCCCAAAGATCCATGGTTCCGGCCCCAGTTCTGGCCCCAGCCCCAGTTCTGGCCCCAGCAGCCATGGTTCCGGCCCCAGCAGCCATGGTTCCAGAACCAGTTCCGGCCCCAGCAGCCATGGTCCAAGACCAAGTTCTGGCCCCAGCGGCCATGTTTCCGGCCCTGGTTCCGGCCCCAGCAGCCATGGTTCAGGCCCCAGCAGCCATGGTTCCGGCCCCAGCAGCCATGGTTCCAGACCCAGTTCTGGCCCCAGCAGCCATGGTCCCGGCCCCAGTTCTGGCCCCAGCAGCCATGGTTTCGGCCCCAGTTCCGGCCCCAGCAGCCATGGTTTCGGCCCCAGTTCCGGCCCCAGCAGCTATGGTTCCGGCCCCAGTTCCGGCTCCAGCAGCTATGGTTCCGGCCCCAGTTCCGGCCTCAGCAGCCATGGTTCCGGCTTCAATTCCGGCTCCAAAACCGGCCCACACAGCCATGATCCAGGCTTCAGCTCCGGACCTTACAGCCATGTTTCCGGCTCCAGAACTGGATCTTACAGCCATGTTTCCGGCTCCAGAACCGGCCCATGCAGCCATGATTCCGGCTCAAGTACCGGGCCCAGCAGCCATGGTTCCGGCCCCAGTTCGAGCCATGGTTCCGGCTCAAGTACCGGCCCCAGCAGTCATGTTCCCAACTCCGGCTCCTCGTTACCTGTTGACTCATCGGCCGACGCCAGATCCCCGAGTCCTGTCGGCGTACCGGCCGACTCCAGCACCTCGTCTCCTGCTGGCTCTCCAGCCGACACCAGCGCCCCGAGTCCTGTCGGTGTACCGGCCGACTCCAGCACCTCGTCTCTTGTTGGCTCTCCAGCCAACGCCAGCTCCCTGTGTCCTGTCGGCGTACCGACCGACGCAAGTCACCTCTCAAATCCCCTCTCGAGTCTCCTCTCGAGTTCCCTCTCGAGTTTCCTCTCGGATCCTCTCTCGAGTCCCCTCTCAAGTCTCCTCTCCAGTTCCTTCTCAAGTCCCCTCTCGAGTCCCCTCTCAAGCCCTCTCTCGAGTCTCCGTTCAAGTTCCCTCTCGAGATTCCTTTCAAGTCAACTCTCAAGTTTCCTCTCGAGTTCCCTCTCAAGCCCTCTCTCGAGTTCCCACTCAAGTCCCTACTCATGTGCCGCTGGAGGTCCCGCAGACTGCTCTTCTGCCGGGGGTCCTGCCAACCCCATGTCCTTTGCCGTTGGAGGTTCCGCTGGGGGTCCTGCCAACCCTTTGTCCTGTCCCGTTGGGGGTCCCGCCGACTACTCTCCTGCTGGGGGTCCTGCCAACCCTATGTCCTGTCCCGTTGGGGGTCCCGCCGACTACTCTCCTTCCGGGGGTCCTGCCAACCCTATGTCCTGTGCCGTTGGAGGCCCCGCCGACTACTCTTCTGCCGGGGGTCCTGCCAACCCTAAGTCCTGTGCCGGTTCAGGCCCCGCCGACTACTCTCCTGCCAACCCTGTGTCTTGTCCCGTTGGAGGCCCCGCCGACTACTCTCCTGCCGGGGGTCCTGCCAACCCTATGTCCTGTCCCGTTGGGGGTCCCGCCGACTACTCTTCTGCCGGGGGTCCTGCCAACCCTATGTCCAGTGCCGTTGGAGGCCCCGCCGACTACTCTCCTGCCGGGGGTCCTGCCAATCCCTTGTCCTGTTCCGTTGGAGGTCCCGCCGACTACTCTTCTATCGGGGGTCCTGCCAGCTATATGTCCCGTGCCTTTGGAGGTTCCGCTGGGGATCCTGCCAACCCGTTGTCCAGTTCCGTTGGAGGCCCCGCCATCATCTGTCTCGCCGGGGGTGCTGCCAACTCCTGGTCCTCTTCCGTGGGGGATCCTGCCGAAGCCTGTCCCACCGGCTCCGGTTCCTGTTCGGCCGACACCGGGTCCTGCCCGGCCTCCGGAGCTGTTTGGCCTTCGCCCCACCCTGAACTCTGCCTTGTCCCCGGGACGTCTGCCCGAGTCTCCCTTTTCGAACTATGCCTTGCACCCGGGCCGTCCGCCCGAGTCCCTCTTTTTGAACTCTGCCTTGCCCCCGGGCCGTCCGCCCGAGACCCCTTCCTTGAACTCCTTGCTCCCGGGCCGTCCGCCCGAGACCCCATCCTTGATCTCTGCCTTGCCCCCGGGCCGTCCGCCCGAGACCCCTTCCGGGTCCTCTGCTGTCAGCCTAAGCCCGTCCTCCAGACCCTCTGCGTTGTGTCTTGTCTAGATCTGTCTTTGGTTTTCTGTCTGCGTTGTGTTTTGTCTTGTCTAGATCTGTTTTTGGTTTTCTGTCTGCGTTGTGTCTTGTCTAGATCTGTCTTTGGTTTTCTGTCTGCGTTGTGTTTTGTCTTTAGATCTGTCTGTGGTTCCCTGTCGTTAGTTTCCCTGGTGTGTCTTATTACCCGATTGTGTGCACCTGGTGTCCCTGTGTGTTCTCCTCCCTCCTCACCTGTGTCTTGTTTGTATAATTAGTCTTGTGTGTATTTAAGTTCTGGTTTTTCTGTCAGTCATTGTCGGTTCGTCTTGTGTTTTGACTTGGTCTTCGATGAATGTTCTGTTCTGTCTTTGTTTATAGTATAGCCTTGAAATAAAGGAGATATTTTTGACACTTTAATCTGCATTTGGGTCCTGCTTCCTGCACACACTGTAACACACGTATAGCACATATTGTAGTTGGATGGTATTTAACAGCAGCAAGTTACACCATTTACAAAATACACATCTTGTAACAGTTCTAAGGATTTAGCAGCCAGGTATATATTACAGTTATTAACGGCATATATATATTGCACAACATAGTTGGTTTAAATAAGTGGTTTTGAGTTGGTTACACGCCTTTTTTAGTATCATGTTAACTTCTGTTATCCGAAGGATTTCATCAACACAATCACATGATAAGGTTTGTAAACAACACTACTCGATTGTTTCACTGCTGACTCTGAGTGACTCAGTGGTCGTAAACACAGGACCTCTTTAATCTCGTATACTTCCTATGGAAAACTCTAATAAATGCAGCAGCAGCAGCACACTTCCCCTTTGTTGATGTCTCAACGTTTATGAAAGGCTGCATGTTGAAACATAGCAAAGACGTCAGTCAAGGATATAACAAATATTTCACAAAGTCAACTAAAGGTTATTAAACACCTCTAAAGTGTTTAGCATTTTGGAAACTGCAAATCTGTCTTGCAAAGGAAACATTTAAAAACACTCAACAACTGGCTGAAGTTTCACCCGTTATTAGCTGATGAGAACAAACATGCAAGCAACATGAAAAACCTCTAAAATACAAATTATTCTCTTGTATTTCTGTAAGACTTTTTGTTTGTTACCCAAAAAAAACGTACCTCCTTGCCATTTTCTCCGTTCAGTGCCAAGATGTAATGTTCTGACAAGTTCCTCTTCATGCAGACAGTTATCTGAGATGATTATCATGACCAGCCAATTAAATAAACGCCCACGTTCCCTCCCTTTTCTCATTAAAATAACGGAAGTCATTTTCTGGTAATGCATTAAAATAGAGTATCCGTTTAAATTGTTTTCTTACTTAAACCAGTTAACAGCTAAGCGACTCTAATGCTTTTTAGGTTTCTTTTTAACATTACAACATTAACATTAATGTAATGTAACAACACCGCCAGGTAGGTAGACGTCCCCTTTATTATTATCTTTGTGAGTGTTCATGTTTTGAGAGATTTTGTGTAGGGTCACCCCCCTATCTCCAAGGGACGAAAAAAGGTCATGTCATCCAATCATTTCAAATAAATCCTGCCTGCTCAGTCGTTTGAGCAGTCAACTGCGCTTGAACTTTTATTTTGAAATCCATACATGCAAAGTAAAAGGAAGTCGAATTACGCGCATGCGTAACAGCCACACACGTTGTTTTGGAAGTTGTTAACGCAAAAAACGTAGCTACATATTTCTGTGTTTTAATAGCTTTACCAACTCTTTGCGTGTTTTATCGTTGCTTCGCATGTGTTTCCTATTTTGGAGTATCATTACCTGTTATTAGCTGTTGCTAAAACTAGTTGACAGGGAAGCTGAAGTTTAAAGAAAGCTAACTAGCCTGATAGCTTAGCCCTGTGCAGCGACAGCATGGCAGCTGTACTGGGGCTGATAGCTGGGAGCTACGAGCAGGTCACCTTTGGGTACAGAGTGAACACTGATGAACCAGTAAGTTACAGTTATTTATTAGTTGTTATTTAGCAAGAAGGGTCTAAGCTGTAGTTTCTTAAAAACGTGTCTGTCGCTGTGATTGATGTGAAGTCCAACAGGGTAACACAACTTGTTTGTGATGCTATGATGACCATAGGATGTATTTTAAAGGACAGTCAATTAATAAGTTATCACATTAACAGACTTGGGTGTAGATACAAAATACATTTCAAATGATCAATTACATTCAAAAGCACTATAAGAAACCATGGTTTAAATGGGACATTGTTTACTGTCCTTTTAAATAAATAACTATGTATTTTATATTAAAAATATTAAAATATATTAAAAGGAAAAATCGGACGAAAAAATAATACTTCTGCAGGTGAGGTAGAAACCCACTAAAAGCTTATTAAAGAAAAGAATATATAAATATCTTAAGAAATAAACGGCAACATGTCTAAACAAAGGAAGGAAAATAAAACACTTTATTACCAACAACAACAAATCCCCTTAAAATGTTCTATACCGTTGAAAGCATGTATTTATTGTTTGTCCTGCAGGAGTGGACAGCGAAGGCAGAGTTCACTCATCACGCCCACACAGGGTCTATATCAGCAGCAGCAGCCAGCGAGAGGTTTGTGGTCACAGGAAGCAAAGATGAGACCATCCAGCTGTACGACATGAAGAAGAAGATCGAACACGGAGCTCTGCTGCATCACGATGGTGAGACATCTTCAGGATATCATCTATTTAACGTCAAGTCATGAACACCAATTCTACAAAGTGGAAGTAGTAGCTGTGGCTTAGTGGCATGGAGATCTCTGGTAAAGGTGTTGTAGCAAACTGCTTTTGTTTCTTGATATGTAATGTTTAAATGGCTGTTAGGGCACTTTTATCCCGTTGGTGTGATAGACTTTGTTACATTTTCTATACTGCTAGCACATCAAGTTTAAATAATCATCAAATAATTGACCTTGTTTGCTTTTTACCAAGAAATGAAAAGACTCTAGCTTGATGTTTGCGCACCTGAGCTTAACTTCTCTGTCATGCAGGCACCATCTCTTGCCTGGAGTTTTACGGGACGTCTCATTTACTGAGCGGAGGAGAGGACGGACTCATCTGTGTTTGGGGCACGAAGAAGTGGGATTGTCTGAAATCCATCAAAGCTCACCAGTAAGCAGAGAGAGAGAGAGAGTGATGCTGCAGTAGCACTTGTAGCACGTGATAGTGTTGTCTTGGATTTGTATTGCCATGACGAGTCAAATGAACTCGCTTTATCTACCTGCTGTTTTTCCTCAGAGGTCAGGTCACGTCGCTGTCCGTCCATCCATCTGGAAAAATTGCACTTTCAGTCGGGACAGATAAAACTCTCAGGTAAAATCACCAAAAGACAATCGTATTAAATCATTCTTTTATAGTTTTTATGATATTATCTTTTCAGTTAAATTGGGATAAGCATCTGTTGCTTGCTAATCTTTTTTTAAACCTATACAAATATGGTCTTGTAAATAGGAATAGCAGTATGTATTAACAAGACAAATATATTAATATTTAAAGAAATAACTTTTGAATATTTGTATCCCTTTTTAGAACATGGAATCTAACAAACGGAAGATCGGCCTTCATCAAAAACATAAAACGGAGTAAGCCTCCCTTTAAATTCTCTAATTAAGGGCTGTTCAATTCTTTAATGAATGTGTGACCAGTGTGTTTGAAATCAATTGTTCTTTTACACTTCTAACAGATGCACACATAGTCCGATGGTCTCCTGATGGGGATAAATATGTGGTCGTGGTGAACGACGAGGTGAACATCTACGACCTGGAGACCGCCTCTGTGACGGCAACCATGAAAAACCCCAAGAGGATTTCATCTGTGAAGTTCTTAAATGTGAGTTATCTGACTAGAACAAATTACACTTCTAACAACATTTAATCATGGAGTGAGAGGTCGATGTGAAGGGGGAAAAAACAAGGTCTTTGTTTAAAGTAGACTGCGAGCACTGAGGAGCACACACACACACACACACACACACACACACACACACACACACACCACAGGAGGTATTTTCTTCCTGTGGCCATCACACTTTATAACTCCTCCTCCTTCTGCAGGAAGGATAATTAAACTATAACACCATGTGCAATATTAGGTTAATCCCATAACATCTGCAGTTTTAATATTTAACCTAATTTTATTTAGTACGATGAGAAATTAGCTATTAGTTGTTTTTAGTATTTGATATTTAGTATTTTACTTGAATGTGCAATATGACTTGTCACTGTCACAGGCTGCTACCTATTCTCTACTGGGGCACTGTAATACGTTACTTTAAAACTTTGTATATTGAGCTATTGTATATTGCATACTTTTATTATGATGTATCTGTATTATCTGTATTGTAATTTTGCAGCAACCTGGCAAAAATAATTTATTTCGGGATTAATAAAGTTCTATCTAATCTTATTGTATAACATTGGACCTGGGAAATGACATGGTAATCCATACATGGTCAAACAGAAATCTTACTTTCATTTTTTCAGAACTCCATTCTTGCGGTTGCAGGAGACGATGAAAAAGTGAGGTTTTGTGACCTGGGAAGAGAGAAATGGTTGTGTGAGTTTAAGGCTCATGAAAACAGGTAATTTCAGTGTTTGTGTTCTTTACAGATCTATTTATTTAAAGTGTTTGCACCTGCATTTCTCTAAAACACATTTCTATAATGAAAGAGAATTGGACTTTGTAACTACAGAATATAATCCTATCAAAATGTTGTGATTTCAGAGTGAAGGCGGTCGACAGCTTTGTGATGGAGGATCACTGCGTACTGGTGACGGCTTCAAATGACGGATTCATCAAAATGTGGAAACTTTATCTAAAAGAGGCATGTCTTTAATTTGATTTATACATTTACTTGTAACTTCCACCAAATTCCTATTGAAAAACCATTTACCTTGCAGTGACACAAAAACAACAACATTCCCATAGTGTAACTACTTATAGGCATATACCTTCTTTGCGAAGCAGAACAAAGCGTTTTTTAAATCAAATAGTTAACATATATTTTAAAAACAAAAATATGCAAAATGACACTGTTGTTCCCTGCTGAGCTGTTTCTTAACTACCAATGTATTTTTTAGAGAGTTGGTTGTGGCCATTACATTTTTAATTAAACAATACACTGCCATTTGCCTTCTCAGATAACAAGTAACAAATAAATCAATTAAAAACAGCCACTAGGTTTTATTTTATCCTCTTAACATTTGATGCATCAAAGCCCATGGCTGTGTCACCTCTCCTTTCTTCACTAAATCCTAACCTCCTGCCTCCTTTGTACTCCTGCTGTCCATCAGGAGCTGGAGTCTCCCACTCTGCTCATGGAAGTGAACACAACGGCCCGCCTGACGTGCCTCGCTGTGTGGAAACCTTCGTCTGTGCAGCCGCCCGCTGAGGAACCAGCCGCTCCGACCACGACACCTCAAGGTCCTGCAAACACTGAGTCATGTCTCACTTCTTATTAAATAGATTTGAGCTAGAGATATTAGAGGGTATAGGTGATTTTATTAGTTTGTATGTAGTTTGTAAATTCTATGTAACATACTCTGCTCTTATAATCTGTTTGCTTTGGTCCACAGAACTGATTCAGGAGCTTTCAAAGACGAAGAGAGTCCGAATTGCAGCAGAAGAAGTTATTCTAGAAGACGAGAGCAAACCCAAGAAGAAGAAAAAGGGCGGTGGAAAAAAACTTACAGAATAATTAAACCTGTTTTGTTATTCATGGCTGTTTTATATATTTTTGTCACATATGCAAGTGCTCTTTGCTGTTGCTACAGGTTTTGTGAACAGATTTTGTGAATATATATATTCCTTTCCTGTCAACAATGAAAATAGGAACAATACGAGGGAAAATTAGATCAACAATAAAACATGTTTTATAATCCTCAGAATTGTTTTCTTTGGCAATGCTCTTGTTTCCCATAGTGATGGGATAAAGTGCATTTAAGAGATATGTTGGCTGTTTTTGTGGCAACACAGCACAAGTCTATGTTGGAGTCATTGCTTTCTGTCTATGGCAAGGTTTAAGACTGATGATGTATCAATAAAAAACAATGAAGTCTTACCATTTCAGATTGGGCCTGTGTCCAAAAAGTGTTTTTTCTGAGCGCCAGAACATACGAGTTCTATCTATAGGCTGAGAGCTATTGGATGGGCAGCTCTGGAAAAAATAGAGACCACTCTAACATGTCTTTAAATCTCAATCTCTACATGTATGGCTGCCACTTTATTCCAGTGTCCTGTTGAATTCCAACAAAGAGAAATGTCAGTAGCTAATAGAATAAAATAAAACAATTTACTCAAACGCATACCTAGAGTAAACCCAGAGAAACTAGATAATTTTGCATTCGTCTCTTACATTTTTCCAGAGCTGTATATGCTTTCAGTTTCCCAATGAGTGTATGTCATTGAAGAGGGTTACGTTTACATATGTTTCTGGTTTTAAATGGTTTCATTATTTCACATTATAATCTGGAAAGCTCTTTGAAGTGAAGGACAATTTAATAATCATCGCATACTTTTACTTTGAAATGACACCGGAAGTGACACAATCACGGTAACATTAGGAAGTTGCTGGGTGCCAAACAAACGGGGATAGTTTTAAAGAATAGGTAAGACATGTTAATATTCTTTTTTAATGTGTGTTTTGAGAGACATTTTGACAATAACATTAATTCCCAAATTATTTGTCGCTTTAATAAACGTGTTACTGTTATTACATTCGGATTCAATGCTGCTAAATCCAACATTTCCTCAAACTTTACTACAACACCAGCAGACATGGCTGTGGACTGGATTGGGTTCATCTATGCTGCTCTGGTGACGACAGGAGGACTCATAGGTTACTTTAAAGCAGGTAGGAGACCATGCCAATCATTAACTACATGCACATTTAGTTAAAAGCACGTTTTAAACCTATTTTATTTATTTTTAACGTAGATGGAAAGTTTGAAACTGTACTCTTCCCTAACTGATTCCTAATTATTATTTATATTTTTAATTGAATTAGATCACAGATGTACTATAGTCAATCATGACTGACATTTATCTCGACCTTTTTATGTTTTTGTTTTGTGCTGTGATTTCAACCATTTGTTTGTCTATCATTTTAAATGTTTTGTACTAGTAAGCTTGTCTTATCCTATGAGGGGGGAGGGATACAAACAAATTGACAATCTGCCTACCTGTCTTGACGCTGTATGTGTTGTTTAAGAAAAAGGAAAATAAAGTTTAAAAAAACCTATTTGATTTCAAGTTTATTTCACCCTTTCAAAATAAACCCTGTTTCCTCCACAGGCAGCGGGGCCTCTCTGTCTGCAGGGCTGCTGTTCGGTGTGCTGGCTGCTGTCGGTGCTTTTCTGGCATCTCAAAACCCAAAGAATGTCTGGCTTTCTCTCGGTGAGCAAGTTTGAATTTGTTAAAGTATAATTGCAGCTTTCACAAACACATCTGTTTCCCTGCAGGCACCTCTGGGACGCGGTGGTGATGGGACTGAGGGTTCTCAACTCCTGGAAGTTCATGCCAGCTGGTTTAATGACTTTAGCAAGGTGAGACCATAGAGGGTGAGACAGAATCACTTGTTATCAGATTTTAATTTCCTTTTGCTTTAGTTTTGTCATACACACATACATAACTTTTCAGTCATTTTTAACCATATATTCTGTTGTAAATGTTTATTTTCAGTGGACTGATGCTGGTGAAGATCATCGCTGGCATGCAAAAGAAACCACATACATCTTAAAAATATGTACAGATGTTTTTTCAGTGTGTCAATGCATGTTTGACATTACAATTAATAATTTGTGTTTCCACATACTGTACATTCACAAACATTCCCTTGTTTACTATTACATTCTGGTTCTGTATAAAACATGTGATATAAAATGTGACTTTATAAGATAAGGTACGAGAAAGAAAATACATTTTTATACAGAAAAGTAATGTTTTTATCTTTAAAAATATATCTGCTGTTGTAAAATAAAAAACTTTAATACAATATAACGACTTCATTGTCTATTATTGAAATAAAATACTGACTCTAGGAGTTATGGGACACATGTACGACACTGAACAATATTTTTTAAGGTGGCAAATGTAACAGACTAGCAGGAAACACTTCTCCTTTAGAGTATTTCCTGGCTCTCGTGCAGTGGGAACTGGTCTCATGAGTCTTTAGTGGTGCAGAGTGGACTGGTGCTACTGGTTTCCTTTGTATTTGGCGGTCCAGTCGACCCGTCCGTGCACCGGCTGCAGGGTCGAGCTCCTCGGTAAAGAGCTCCACCCTGAGGCGCTGGGTCCAGAGATCGGAGGATTCAGAGATCGGCTCCTCCACCCTTCGTGCTCTGGTAGATCATCATGAGAGAGGGGAAACGTTTAGGCCTATTCCGGGGAAGCAACATCAAACTGCACACATCATTTTAGGTTTTGTTTGGGTTTTTTTACCTTTGTTTGAGGGTAGTAGTTTATTTAAGGAGGTCTTGTTCTTGGATGATTTGATTTTAGACTCAACTCTTAGATCCACTACAAGATTTACAAAAAGAAAGTGGGCAAATATTCAGGTTAAAAGAATGACAGCGATACAAAATCAAAAAGTGCGTAACATAATGAGCTTTTTAAAATGGTGGATAGAATTTTAAATGCATATTTTCCATTTTTTTTTAAACACATAATGTACATTCTCTTCAGTCAGAATATGTAAAAAAATAATAGACAACTTCCCACAATATAATGGAAGTGGACCACAGACACTGGAAACTGATAATTATGTCTCGTAAAATCTTATAATGAGACGTATTTATATTATAGACCTGCAAATCAGTTTCTAGATCAAGCGATTTATCTTTTTTTAATTATATATTATATTTGTATGCTATTTTACGTAACTATCATTATTATACTTTGTACAAATGTGTGCATGTATGTCTTTATATTAACTCTTCAATATTACTATAAGACAATTGATACAAATACAAATGAACACATTCTTCAGGGCTGGAAAACTTTAAATCTTCCTTAGTCAGCGACTATCTTCTTAGACATCTTTAAGGACTATGTTCTGACTCCAGGGGGCGCTTTTGCCCAGCTATGACGGAAGAGCAAGAGTGTCCACATAAGGAAACTGCTCTCAAAAGAAAAACAATGACGCTTCCAGTTATTTCTAGTTATTAAACGAAGAACTCACTGGCAGAGCTGCCTCCTATGGGGGCCAGTGTGATCCTCTGTCTCGCTGATCCTGGTTCAGCCTTCTGAAAAGGGGGCATCTGTGTCTGGTTTGGGTTTTTGTTGCTCAGGAAGGAGTCTGTAAGGACAAGAATCACATCACTAACTGATGACCTGCTTCAAGTCTAATATAATCCACTGCTGATGTTATTACTGGCTTTAATATTGGGATTTCAACAATGCCAATCATTTCTGAATAACAGCAAAGTAGAGTAACTCTGTGAACAGATACCTTTAGAAAGATCGCGATCCTCCAGAGTCTTTTCTTTAAGAGGCTGCTGATCTGTTAGTTTAGGAAGACTATTGTCTAAAACCCACAGCACAACATAGAGAGAAGAGAAGAAGGATTAAACCCGATGAAAATAAAATAGGAAATCTCAAGTGTACCTATTTACATGTTGCATGTTGCTGTACATCATAATTGATCCAAATCTGAGGCCATGGTTCTCAGCAGGAAACCGATGGACTGTCCACTCCAAGTAGGGAATGAGTCCTTACCCCAAGTGAAGGAGTTCAAGTATCTCGGGGTCTTGTTCTCGAGTGAGGGAACAATGGAGCGTGAGAAGGGCCGGAGAATCGGAGCAGCGGGAGCGGTACTGCAGTCGCTTTACCGCACCGTTGTGACGAAAAGGGAGCTGAGCCAGAAGGCAAAGCTCTCTGTCTACCGGGCCATTTTCGTTCCTACCCTCACCTATGGTCATGAAGGATGGGTCATGACTGAAAGAACGAGATCGCGGATACAAGCGGTCAAGATGGGTTTTCTCCGCAGGGTGGCTGGTGTCTCCCTTAGGCATAAGGTGAGTAGTTCGGTCATCAGGGAGGGACTCGGAGTTGAACCGCTCCTCTCCTTCGCGTCGAAAGGAGCCAGTTGAGGTGGTTCGGGCACCTAGTTAGGATGCCACCTGGGCGCCTCCCTAGGGAGGTGTTCCAGGCACGTCCAGCTGGGAAGAGACCAAGGGGTAGACCTAGGACCAGGTGGAGGGATTATATCTCTTCGCTGGCCTGGGAGTGCCTTGGGATCCCCCAGTCAGAGCTGGTTGATGTGGCCAGGGAAAAGAAAGTTTGGGGCTCTCTGCTGGAACTGCTACCCCCGCGACCCGACCACGGATAAGCGGGAGAAGATGGATGGATAATAGAACGCTGCACAGCTTTTTGGTTGGTCCATTTTTGAACGATTTCTCCAGAGTGCTTATAAAGTTCACATTTATTGAAAAAGGATGAATGTTATTGTTTCCAGATTACATGTTTTTACAAAAGAATTCTGCTTCAATCTATACTTTCAAAAACAAAAATTGTTATTGCCCTCAAAAAGCTGAGTTTGCCGCACATAGTACGCACTGGCGCACAGGCAAGAGAAGATTTAAAACCAGGTTATCAGCATTTCCTTTGTGTTCTGAAGTCTTTCTTACCTTTATTTAGAGGAAACTCTGGCGTCTTTTCTCTGGTTAAACCCGAGGCGCCCCACAGGTTTCTGCCGGTCACCGGGCTTTCTGCTAAAGAGCTGTTCTTTGGATTTATGCCTAAAAATGACAAAAATTGAGTGAACTCCTGAGCCCACACAACAAGTTACAATTTAAACAATGATACATTTGGTCTGTTGGGTATTTGTCTCTTTCTGCATTTAGGCTCATTAGTGCATTATTTTTTAAGACTTCTTATTTTATAACATAAATAGGACATACATGGAGACGCTTACATAACTGCACCTGTTGTACATCAGGGTTAATCATTCATGCCCTCCTTGGACACCAAAAGGACATTTCTTGATGCTATTGATTTTCATATTGTGCAAACATTATCAACATATTACAGACACTATCACTCCCCCTCATCAACAAAATGATCGCACAATACCTGTCATTAGTGCATTATTAATTTAATGAATTTCCTTAGATCTCTTTTCCTCACCGGGCAGATATCTGGACTGGCGGAGGTAGTGCTGCTTGGCGGACAGCGTGGAGGATTCAGCTCGGTTCAGCCCACTGTTGCTCGGCAGCTTTCTTTCTGCTTTGTTCTGCGACTCTGCCAATCTAGACACACAAATATCACATTATTGTATTTTTTCACAACAGTAATGAAAACGTTTACATGAAAATAAGGAGGTCTAACCGACAGCTGGGCCCCTCTGCTGCCCCGTCCTTCAGAGAGCTGATGGTGGGCTTTTTGGAGATGGAGACTCCGGCGTCTGCCTCCTCTCCGTCGTCCCAGCTGTCCTCAGATCTGTTAGACGCCAGTCCCCAGCGTCTGCGTCCCGTCCTCACTGCACTCATGCTGTTCTCTGCTCCTATCGGCTTTGAAATAAAGAAGAAATAAGTTCCAAAGCTTCAAGATCTACTTTTTACATTCAGAAGCTGCAGTTCGTTGATACCTACAGCCTGATAGCTCATTGGTTGCCTGCTTTTCACCAGGCTGAGGGGTTCCTGCTGTCCCTGTGTCAGCGTGGAAGAACACATTGTTTGTTTTGGGTTTTGTTCCATGTTGTTCTGAGGGAGAAGTATCTGCTGAAGAGGCTGGTGCAGAGACTGGCTGCATCTCTGGGTGCTACTCTGCTCGCTGGACTCCAGGTCCGTCTTACAGAGGGACAGAGGCTTTGTTCCTGAAGACGCCTCGTACATCTTTGGCTGAGCCTTGTGCTGCTCCGAGTTCTTCAGAGGAGCACCGAGCGCCGGGCCGACGTGGAAGTATGGATACCGTAGAGCCTGGAACAGAGGGAAGATAATCCTCAATTACATCTGTGCTCATAATGTTTATTTTATACAAGTAAGAAGCTCACAACATTGCATAAAGCAGCGAATTAATTATAGAAAAAGAAAAAATGTGATACATTAAATACAAAAATGTAACCTTTTCAAAATAAAAGCCCAGACAAGCACATGAAAATAAAGCAATGGATTTGTGTTTAAAGGACATGTGATTGATTGTAAGATATACAGTATATAGTAAAGTACTAATGAGACAAACCATAATTGCATATTTCTAACACTGAAATTTAAAACGCACATAAATAAATATTTGGAGCACTGAAAACTACTTTTATACTATTTGTAATTTTCAAGCTATTAGTTATTGGAATAAGGTCAATGGACGTGCATTGCTGTAGCTGTACACACAGTTTGGTTGTACAGCAGGTAAGCTGATTGATTCCCACTTTGAGTATCCCACAGATACTCAAAGGTGCTCAAGATAAAAGTATTCACCAAACACGGTTGAATCAAAATGAGAGGGTTGTCTTCACTGTATGTTTCTTTTAAGTCTACGTTCAAACTTAAAGGGTTTTCAAAGTACCTGAACAGCACTGGGTCTCTTCTCAGGGTCCCACTGCAGCATGTCTCTCATCAGTGTGATCGCCTCGCTGCTGGCGTTTGGGATCAGAGATCTGAGGCTGGTGGGGACGCACTTTGGGAAGCGGAAGTTCATCGAGGTGGCAAGCTTGACGCCCTCAGGCCAGTCTGGCTGATGTGGAGAGAGACAAGAAAGCAACAGTGAGTCACAAGAACTTCACAACAAAAGAAATTAAAATACTAGTAGCGGACAAAAATCCTGGCAAAATGATCAAATGCATCACTGTTGAGAAAACCTCTGAAATATTTGATAAATTGAAATCAGTAATGTAGATTTAATAAGTTAGAGGGTAAAGACAAATGATAAAATCACTTTACGGTAATGCAGCCTTTAAAACCAGATTTTCGGCATATTAAGATATCCAAAATGACAAGAGACAGACAATATCTAGTCACGGGGCGGTGGTGGCGAAGTCCATAGGGACTTGGCTTGGCAACTGGAAGGTCACCAGTTCAAGTCCCGGAAAGACCAAGTGCTACCGAGGTGTCCCTGAGCAAGGCACCGTTCCCTACACTGCTCCCCGGGCGCCGTACATAATGGCAGCCCACTGCTCCTAACACTAGGAAGGGTCAAATGCAGAGAAACCGTTTCGTTACATAGTACCTGTACTACGTAATGACAATAAGTTGAATCATCATCATCACATACTAAAATGTTGATAACATGTTCATACGTTGCCCATTCTGACTATAGATCTGTTGGTCAGAGCTAATAATATAGAAGGTAGAAACAGCCGTTTGATGTTTGCGTCATAGAAGGGCAGAAGTTTTAATTTCAGAGGTTGGTGCACCCAACATGTGACTTTGTGCTGAGATGGCTCACCTTCTTCAGCGTTCCCAGCACCTGACAGATCTTGAAGATCTCGTCCACCTCGCTGTTTCCAGGGAACAGAGGTCTGAGAGTGTACAGCTCCGCCATGATGCATCCCACCGCCCAGATGTCGATGGGTGAGCTGTAGCAGTTAGACTTTAACAGAACCTCCGGGGCCCGGTACCTGTCAGAACCAGAGGGAGGATATTTAAAGCAGATTTACTCATGGTGACTTAACTCTAGTTTGGCTTTAATTCCTGTTTGGTCCTTTTTCCAAGGAGGTCACCGTTTTAATTTGGTTTGTTTGTCTAGATTACATACAAACTAATGACTGTCATTAAATTCAGTGGAAGGGTGTAACATGGGCAAGGGAAGAGGAGGATACACTAATGATCTTTCACTTTTGTAAACATTGCAAAAAAGGGCATTTGGTCTTGGCAGAAGTGTGTTCTCTCTCCAAGTGCCCTTCTAATTTAATTTATGTTCTACTTTACTGCAGTACTTTTTGTCATTAAATTAACTACATTTCCCTACAGGGTCCATTTTATTTCCTCTTATCTTTAGAAAAATAAATGATTGTGTCTCTTCTATCTAACGAGAGCTACAGCTTAGTTGCAAAAGAGCATATTTTATCACTTTCCCCAAGTGGTATGTAATCATGTAAATAGTATTGGTTGTTGTGTAGATCTTCCACAGGAATGACCTATACTTTTTTTTTTACATTTTTTAATTTTTAGTCAATTTATTGAACATGTCAGAAACAAAACAATAATAATAATAATATATATTCTTTTTCTTTTCTCACTCATAATAATTATAACAAATTACAACAAATAAATAAATAAAAGTAATTCTCAAATAGTCTCTGTCATGTTCAACAGATGAAGCTTAAAAAAAAGCTTTTCTGGTCCTACCCCCCTCGAGCATACATTTTCCTTATAAATAAAATATTAGGTCATCGTCATCAGCGACATGTTTGTCTTGTTTGTTTGTTTGTTTTTTACAAAACAATCAGAAAGAAATTACTTTTACAATTACAAGAAATAACAGATGGGATTGTACAGGTCCTGTTCATAACCATTCATGATTTGCTCCTAAATAATACTTTCAGTTTAGATAGACTTGTACAATAAGTGCATCATTACAGTTATTCCACAGACTAACACCTTTTGATGTGATGCAATGTAGTTTGGCATTTGTTCGTACTGTACACTGCCCTGATATCATCTTGTAGATAAATGAGTCTCACCATCTTGTGGACACATAGTCAGTGTAAGGTGGCTGTGAGCGGATCTCTCTGGCTAGTCCAAAGTCAGCGATCTTCACCAGCTCTGGGCCCATGCAGAGCAAGTTCTCCGGCTTCATGTCCCGATGGAAATACCCTGAAAAACATCAAGAGAGTCACATGTTCTGATGTTTGTCCAGGTTTGTATTGTTCTCTCAAACTAAATAGTTATTGCCACCAACTTTCTACCACAATTACAACCACTTGTACTACTAATAATGACACAGCCCACTATTTATTAAAATCACAATTTGATCCATTTTTGATTGATCTAAATGTAAACTATATCTAGATTCAAACACAGAGTTAAAACATCTCTGACCAAAAGCAAGATGTTTTAACCGGACACAGACAAGCAAGCCTTGAACAGGGTTTGTACAAAGTCTTGTTTTGTTTCAAGATTACTAATATGCTTACATGTTTCTGATATTTCTTGTAAAATGCTTGATTTTCATCACAATCTGGTGGTTTCTCTAATCTCTACACAATCCCACTGTTTTGTTGCTATAGGTGAAATGTACGAACCCTGTTGGAAAGGGAAAGCGAAATCAGAAGGCTCTTACCGTGCTTATGCACAAAAGCTAAGCCAGACAAAACTTGGAACAAAATGTTCCTTATCTCATTTTCAGAAAACATCTTATCTTCCCTGGCGCGGCAAAAGAGGTAAAAGACAAGAAAACAGAAAAAAGAAGGGGTAAAGATAAAAACACTACGCAAACAATCATGCCTTATTCAAGTGGGGGAAACACCAGCTCACAGTAGCACTAAAGACAGTGTTGAAGGAAGAGAGTTAATCTTTGGTACCACTCACACCTCCTCTTCTCAAGGGAGAGAAGGGAGTCATTTTTCAACTCATCAGTTTTAAATAATGTTTTCGGTTTACTCAATTATGAACAATTTATACCAGGACAGTGCTGACAGCTTGATCATACAGACACAAAAGGAAGTACTCAGTTTATACTCAAAGGCTTTGCTGTAAGTCACCTACCATGTTTATGAATAAAGGACAGTCCCTGTAATATCTGAAATGTCATGTTTCTGACGAGTGACTCAGGGAACAACTTGTTTCTGAAAAAATCAAGACCGACACATGATGACTCAAGCTGACCCAAATCATTCTCACATTCCCAATGGTGACAACAAAACCCACTGCAAAATGATATGACAAAAAGAACCCTGCACACAGCTGGTACATGTCTGAAATAAAGCTGTTGCTGTAAGAGGAATTCGTCTTACCTTTCTTTCATGAGCTGATAGAGGTTTTCTTTCATATACTCAAAGACAAAGTAGAGGTGGTCGTTTTCTCTGATCACTTCCCTCAGTTTCACCACATTGGCATGGTTCAGCTTCTTCAGTGACTGAAAACACAAGCATTACATTATTTAAAATAGTCAATAATTAGTCAAATAGCTCATTATGTAGGGACATTTCTCAAATGCCTGAACATAGTGTTTGAAATTTGATATAATATTCGTCTCCAAACAAAAACAAAACATGCCCAGAGAATTTAGATTTTTTTTTTTTTCATATAGTCTCAGGTAATGTAGTTGATGATCAGGGAATGCAAGAGAAAGAGAACATTTTAAAATGGATATTTGTTGTATTTTCATTTTCAAACAAGTTACGATAAAACCTAGACTCATAACAAATTCTCATTTAAAACTTAAAAACTTAAATAATAAATGAATACACCTATTTATGTAGTTTCAAACCATATTGATTGGACATTTAAATATTAATCCCAACTTGGAAATAAACTATTTTTGCTGTCCTATTAATAACTTTACTTGATTATTTGAATGTTGCAAAAACAAGCAGAAAACTTGCTTAATATAATAATTACTGACCCGCTGTTGTATCAACTATATTTTTTGTCTCCACTAGAATATAATTACTCTCACCTTAACCTCTCTTAGACTCAAGCACTCATCCCACGAATAAAACTTCCTCTTCATTCTGTTAGGGGTGAAAACAGATATATTAATTCAAGACTTTCCGACTTCTTTTCAGGGTATGAAATGGCTTCCTTTATGGTGACTATGGGCTCCAAAGAAATGTTTTATCAGCCATAATAGTAGTACAAATAGCATCCTGTCAACATCACTATATTTAAACGTTTGAACTTTGCATGGAAATGTTTCACGTGTGTAACCTGTTTTAACCTTTCCCCTTCTTCCCTCTCATACTCCAGGAGCAACACTACGCGGTGTACTTTCACTTCTTTGACTGTCATCAGCAGTGTCAGCTTGCACTATAACCTTACATTTACAAACAGTGCTTGAAGGAGCCTCGTGAAACATTCATTATTCATTTCTTGCCAGAGATCTTAAACAGCTCATCATTAAAATGTAGTGAACTGTCAAAAAAGGACGTCATGACAACAAAACCTAGGATAATAATAATATTTATAGTAATACTAATACTACAGTGTCGTGCATCTTCACAATACGCCTTAAACTTGTCATTCCAGAAGCTTATTTACCTTAAATTCCTACACACTGAAGATTCAAAGGCTTTTTTTTCATGTAGCCTACAGTACATGATATCTATGATGTAGTTTTGGCAATACAATCTTAAGCCCCAGGCTAGTCCAACAGTGCAACATCAAATATACTCAACATAAAAAAGAAAAAGAGATACATAAAATGACGCAATGGTGCAAGTAAGTTTCATGAATACGAATAAAAACATTTAAAACAGATTAAGATGTAAAACAGAAACAGAATGCAAAATCAAATACTGTATTGAATAAAAATGGTGTATAAAATATATAATCACATGATGCAGACAAATGCAAAACGTAACTTTTTTATTTACAACTCGTTAGGGTCTAGATTCTTGAAGCACTCTGAAGCAGTCTCTCAGAGTTTAATCAGCTTAATGCTCCGAGACAAAACCACCCAGTTTGCACTGACCTCTTAATGGCCACCATCTCCCCCGTGTCGTTGCTCTTCCCCAGGAGCACGCTGCCATACGTGCCGTCCCCCAGCTGCCTCAGCGTGGTGTAGCGGTTCATCGTCCACAGAGAGCCCTGCCTCTCCTTCAGCGAGGAGCCTGGACAGTCCCACACAGGCCAACAGTTGGTCATCGTAAGCACAGTAACATCCCTCCACAGATCAACAGACACAGACACAGACTATGCTACTCTGAGGCAACTCAAAGACTCAGCAATAAAACACGAGTGCTCATCCTTTACCTTTCTCTCTGCAGGTGGGTGATTAAGGAAGGTGGAGGTTTACCTGGCGAGGGCGAGTGGAAAAGTGATGCTGCCGCCTGCATGTGTCTCATCTATCCTGAGCTAAGCCTTGACGGCAGACAGAGGAAGGGCTGCGAGGGGATTAGAGCTGACATGTGATTAAGTGCCAGGTAACAGGCTCACAGGAGAGCACTCATCAAGTCCACTTCAAAATAGGAGTAGGACACATGGTGACACATTTTGTCAATGGTGGAAGAAGTAGTTAGATCTTTTACTTAGCTCAAAGTAGAAAGGTATCAAAATATACTAAGTAAAAATAAGTGTCATACTTGTCCAGCGTAGTGCTACAAGTCTGCATTAATTTGAGTAAAAAGTTCACATTACATGGAAGCTATTGAAATGATCAAAACGTTTTCAATTAAAAAGGTGCTCTTTTTTCATTAAAAATATGTATATTAAATATAATGTACACTAAAATCCAATACAAATAGATGTGTCCAACTTGCCTATTATAGATATACAATATACAATCTCCTACTTGTAGTAATACAATGATGCATTGATTTGGAGTCACTGGATCATGTGACATGTAAGCTATTGAAAGCTGAACAAATCTTCTATTAAAATATTCATGACTATCAGGACACACCAGTAATCAAAAAATGGTTGCTACAGAAGACACATTTATTATATTTTGTAAGCATAATTTGTACTTTTTATTTATTTTTGCTTAACGTCCAAGCAAACACGTTGAAATGTTTTTTTTAATAAATGTGGTTTGTGTCATATAAATGGTTATTTATTGATGGTCCCTAAGTGAACACTGGGCTAACCTAATTATACTGTAGTTACTGAATAAATACCTTAACATGTTGTTGTTTTTCTCTCTCCTTTCAAAACAAAATGAAGTTGATTGATAATATATACCAGTACATCACAAGCTACAAAACGTTGAATTCTAAACCATTAAAATCACGGTGTCTGAAAACGTTATCATGTAGCATCATGTGGCTAGTTAGCAAACAACAAGCAGGCCTGCATAAGAGTAGCCTAGGACTGAAGCTAAAGAGCTAAATAAGCTAACATTAAACGACTGACAAGCCTTGATGTTCAGCCATTATATCTTACAGACACGTCATGTTGGTGTTGCTGTTTTAACCAAATATTTAAAACTTTAAACTTAACTAAAACTGACGTACCATGGAGGGCATTTCCGTGCTGATGGAGGTGATGAAGAGATGCTGCTAGCTTTGTAGGAGCAGTTTCCTGTCTCCTAGGCAACGCAGAGACTTCCACAATAAAAGGAAATACAAATAATACTTATATTATCTACAAAAGTGTGCACTGTGATGGACCTGAAATAGTATGAAGTATATTAAATAACATTAAAATACAATTAAATACAATTATCTGTATATTGTTTTGTTGTTTTTAACAGCTGTTTTGGTGTTTTTGCAATGACGTCAGTTGCCACTATTTTTTTTAGGTCTGATGTTAGTGTATCAAAAGCAATATTGACCTTGTTACTATTAATACACATTTACTCACCAGAGATATTCTATTGTTTAACTTTTATGTTACAATATAGTGCTCCATCTGGTGGTTCATTTTTAAACCTGCATCTGATTGTGACATTGGTCCTTGTAATCCTTGTTACCTACCCTTTTTAGACCCCTTAGTAATTAGATCTTATTAAAATATAATTGTTTTGTAAAGCAGTCACAGTGTATGTGAGCAGACTGCTGTTGGGAGGCTGAACAAAGAAAATCAACAAAAATACTATATATTTAAATGTAATATAAGTGGGGTTTTCTGCATTTTCTTTGCAAAATAATTTTAAAAAACAGCTTATGTTATTGCTAAGACCACATGAGAGCGACCCACAGCCCCTTAAAAATATCCCAGGACCCCAATTTGAAGACCAGATATATCATCCACATAATAGTCTTTTTATAGCTACACTTGACCTGCTTTGAGGCTAAAAATAGACCTATTATATTTAGATGTTGGTAAATAACACTTGGATTATGGGAATGTAGGAAACAACTCGCATGGATAAGAATAACATAATGAAAAAGCTCATACAAAAAATAATAATATATAAGCCATTAAACGTTAAAAGGTCTAATTGACACAATAATGCCTTGATTATTGTAATGATATGTGTTAGAATTCTAAATATTATCTTGAATACATTCAAATATTAGAACATATTTAAAGAGCATGACTGTGCGTAAACAGTGATATAAAATAGATCATGTTCACTCTCTATCGGGCAGGAGGTGTCTTTAGGTATGCAGGCATGCAATGTGAGGAATGAAAATCATGACCAGCATTCTCGAAATGGCCATACTGTAGTACCGTGACGCGCCGTGCATTGCACCTAACAACTGTGCAGTCAGATTGTTGACTGTCTGCGCAGCGGATAGTCGCGATTTTTTCCAAGGTTGTGCTTTTGGTTACTTACGGTAAGATGGACCCGCAGTGTCCACTAAAGGATCAGGTGATCCACTAACTACGAAGCAAAGGCTGACTGGGGAAAATGCAAAATGACATATAGCAAATGTCGGAGCATAATTCATTCACATTTTCGGCTCAATTTCGGACTTAAATCGCACCGCTGGAGCTCCAATGTGACGATGGCTCGCTAGGGCTGCTGGCGCAACTGCGATTTTTTTGATATTTTAATTTATGAAAAATCACATTCACAGACAAATATTGGTTTCAACATGGGGCTGTGCTACAGTTTGCGTCCCCGGCTCTTCGGGGACCTGAGCGGCTCTATCTCCAACGCTACCTCGGACTCGGACCAGCCTCCGGACGCCGCCGCCGTGCAGACCCGCGCCGGTGGAGCTCGCCCGGAGGACACCGGGGGATGCGGGGAGACCTCGGCGCTGCGCGGCCCGGTGCGCCCCGGGGACCCGGCCAGGCTACCGGAGCAACGCCGTGGAGACACCGGTACCGACGGTGTGCTCATACAGAACGGAGGCGGCGGAGGAGGAGGCGGTGGTGGCGGTGTGGGAGGCAGCGGGAAGGGGACAGGGAAGGACCGTGGCCGACGCTTACAGCTGCTGCAAAAGACTAGCACCCAAAAGCAGAAAAACTGGGACAAATTGCTGGTGGAGGAGAAGGAGGCCGAGAAGGAGGCGAAGAAAGTCAGTAAGAATATTGACAGGGCGCTGAAGGAGCTCAAACGGGAGTACAAACAGACGCATCGGCTGCTGCTGCTCGGTAGGTGCCTCTCTGTTGTTGGACCACCAAGCTGTTTTATTATTAGAAACAAAAACGTACTGGCCTTTCCAAAAATTATGTCACTACTCTGGCGAGGCCTTATTGCCACCACATCTGTTGGCTGGGTGAAGACTACCCCCTGCGGCTGGCAGTGACAGATGAGGAAGATGTCTCTGGGTCTGCTGTCCTCTTACTGTTTATCATACTTGATATTAAGAAGAAAAGCCAATTAATAATGTTGTAGGACATCAGAAGGGACCAGTAGCTAAACACAGGTTTACAGAAAACACCTAGCATGTGGCTATTGGGCAATGCCTACCCTGAGAACAGTAAGGTGTAGTGTACAGTAGCCTGTATGACATATGACAAATACCCTGTCGAAATACATGTGTAAAGTAATATAATAGTGTAGTCCAAACATATGCAGAGAGTCCACTTAGTTTTGGTGTATTGGGCCATATTTACTCTGAGTGTATAGCATAGCATAGCATAGTAGGCTATAGTAGAGATTATTTGACTTCAGATATAGCATTTTGAAATAGATTGATAATGTAGTATAATAGAGTAGTGGCTTGTAATGTTGTGTAGTGTCATTGAGAGGTGGATTTAGTAAACACATGTGTAGAGAGACCATTTTTGTTGTCTTTTGGGACATATTTAGTAGTATATTATAGTATAGTATAGTAGAGATTATTTGACTTCAGATGAGAAATACCCTTTTGAAATGTATGTAGTATTATAGAGTTTAGTGGCTTGTAATGTTGTGCAGTGTCATTGAGAGGTGGCTTAAGTATACAGGTATTAAGAGAAACGTATCCTGTTAAATATTACTCTGAACATTTGTATTATATAGTAGGCCTAAAGTGTTGTGGCCTGTAGCAGAGTTGAGTGTTGTAGAGTATTGTAGAAAATATCACTTTGTTGTCTTTAGTATTCAAATAGAGGGAGCACTTAGCTGCCTATTTGGCCATGTTTACACTGATGATGAGTATAGTAGAATAAGATAGTGTTGTCTATAGTATATGACAACAACAGATGAAAAATAGCCTTATGAAATAGATGCATACTATATTATAATGGACTGTAGTGGCTTGCAATTGTGTGAAGTGTCATTAAGAGGTGGCTTTAGTAAACAAACATAAAGGGAGACAACTTGTCCTTTTTAGTTTTAACCCTGGAAGTAAGGATTCGGCTTATAGTATAAAATACAGGACTAAAGAACTCATTGTGGGCTATACCATAGTTGAGTGTTGTGTTTTAAAGTGGGTATCATTTAGTTGGCTAAAGTATACAAATATGAAGGTTAGACCACTTAGCTTTTGCCTATGTTTACTTTGAAAAAAATCAAAAGTATAGTATAGTATTTCAGATGAAAATGGCGTGTAGTTTAGTTTGACAAGACTGCCGTCAATCTGGTAGTAGACATAACAAATAACTGATTTACTGTTGAACATTTACAGTTTAGTTTTTCAACAAATAAATGTATTGTGTGGTAGATTACAGTGTGGTCTACTGGCCGATATTATAGTAAAATGCTGTGCAGTGTAGGTGGATATTTTATTAAGTTGAGTAGGTAAAAACATTTTTATTGTTGTGGGAAAATGAGCTTCAGTTCTTAAAATTATGAATTAATCCACAAAGTATGCTAACAGATTGATTCCAATCCTGATCATTAATTGGACGAATAAACACTCCCTGATTACAGCTTTACATTCTATATGTAAAGAATTGCTTGCTTTTGAATTTGAGTACAAATGAAGGTATTTATCATAGCTGCTAAATAGCCGTACTGTCATAAATAATCACTTTAAAATCATCAGTTAGGACTCTGGCACTTGGTTTGATTTTTAGCATTTTATCAAGTAAATGATTATAATTCGATACAAAAATAACAACCCCTTTTATTTAATTCATAATAAAATTATCTTTAGTTGAAGCCCTTATCGGTTTATTTGGGTCTATATGAATTACAGGGCGTGTGTCTCTTTGTGGTCATACATTTTATTGCCTTACTGGAATCTGCTGATAGTTTAAGTAATTGTTCAGATATTGGTCATTAGCAAAACATCATTGTTCCTGGAAATGTCATTGTAGTTCTAGATGGATGTGTCAGTCAGGCCAGAGCTCTCTACACTGTTACCCTGTTGTTTATTTTTACCATACACAAAGTAACCATGTCTATATTATATGCTTATACATTACTTTTCAAAAGGTCAATGCTTTACCTTTTTAAAGAGAAAGTCTTGATCAGAAATAGGAGCTTTAAGTTGTATCAAAGCTACCCTGATGAGGAAGTATTCTGATTGTTTACATAAGTTATAGGACTAAACCTGCACTGTGAAAATACTGCAATACAAGAAAAAGTCCTGTATTCATTACATGTTTTTGATTAATATCATGGCTATGTTGCATTTTTTAGGTGTACAGCAGGTGTTTATGGTTATGCTATTTTTAAATACTTCTTCTCATCCTTCACGTTATCACACATCAGCATCAACATTTAAAAAATCATTACTCATTGGAGTAAGTGTTTTTGCACTAAAATGATAAGTAATAAATCAAAATGTATAATAGGATTTTTAGTTTTTGTTAGCAGTCTGAATTTGCAACATAACGAGTAACTAATTGCTCAAATAAATGTATTTAAAATGACTGTCAATATATCCCTCTGAGGTGTAGTATAGTAGCATAACATGTAAATACTCAAGTATCTTACATTTGTATTTCAAACACATTGCATGTATTTGCTTTACTTTTACCAAAGTAATATTATAAATATATTTGTTTTGTGTTTATAATAAACGGCTGCTTGTTAAATTTCACGAGTAAACAGCTGTCACTAATCACACACAGGAAGAAGTGGCTCATCCTAATAAAGTCACACAGGGAAGTGTCATAAATTACAGTTACATATATTGTGTGACCTGTGTCATTTCAGCATGTCATTATGACATTTGGCGGCCTTCCTTAGTGTCAGAATGATTTATTCCGTGTCCTGATAAACGCAGTAGTCTCAGC